GCCGGTGCCGTCGCCGTGCGGGAAGGGCGCCGGGGGCAACTCCGCGTGCGGACCGGCCGTAGTCGCTAGTTACTAAAAGCCAAACCGAAACAGCGCTCGGGGAGGGCGGCCCTTCAGAGGGCGGGTGCGGGGCCGGGACCTGCGCCCACCTGGGCATCGTCTGCGCCGTGCGCGGCCCTGGCTGGAGGAGCGCTGCCTGCTTGCGGGCGGACGAGCTGAGGCTCCGGCGGTGCAGGGGTGGCAGCCGGAGGGGAAGCCCGCGTGGTGTCCGTGTTTTTGCAAGGAGCTGCGGGCGAGGCCTCCCCGGTGAGGAAGCACATCGATCTTGCAGGTCTTATGTAAGGAACTTTGCCGTGCATCAGGCCCAGCGATTTCAAGGGACATAATCGTTATTATGCAAGTCCCAGTACTGCGGGATGAAGACCTTTGAAGCAGGCTGCTGTATTTCTAAATAGTAGAGAAGAATATAATTAAAGGTTGTGTCTATTGAGACCACTAAGCATCAAATATCAAGCTCCAAATTAATTTTTGTTACAGTTAGGCTTATTAGGGAAAAGTTGGTACCCTCTGAAACATCACAAATGTCTGCAGTCCGGTGAAAGACTGACTATGTTTGAGTGTGTGCGGTCAGACAGAAAAAAATCGGCCTCTGTAGCCAGCTCTATTATAAAAATAGGATTTTTAGTATCAGTAGAAAACCGTATTAACAGATATTTTTGGATAACTTCAGTTTGTAAATCTGCTCATCTTTGCAACTTCCTAATCCTGTGAGTTGATGACAATTCCTTTTCGCACTTCAGCTTGAGGGTACTTAACTGCTTACTTAATGCCTTCTCGTTAGGCTGCCCCCTTCGAGTCCCCCTGCTATAACGTAAAATTGGCTCCAATCTCCCTTTGGCTGTTTCTTTTATACAGGTATGCGCTCACCATTTTGTTGTGTTTAAGTCTCTGGTTAAGACAGAGTTAATTAAAAATATGAAATAGCTTTTCTGCAAATTAACCCATGAATGTGCAAACTAAACAGCTTTCCTGTTTTCTCTAGAGGTCACTTAGCCTGTTGGATCTTGAGCTGAGCTGAGCGATGTCTTCTCTGCACATACACGGCTGTGAAAAAGTGGCTGCTGAAATGCTGCAGTGCAATGCCAGATGGAAGGATTTTGGGGAAGGGGCTGTCTGTTGATTTCGTGCCACTGTTTACTTTCTTGCATTTCAGTCTTTTGTAGCTGGCTTTGAAGAGTGATGCAACAGTCACAACATGCTCTGCTCAGTGCCAATTACCTTTCTGCTTGTGTGTAATTTGGGCAAATTGATGTTATTGCACCCTGCAGTTAAGCAGATGAAATATTCTTTTAGCCTGTGGTATTGTTCTGTTTTACGGGAGGGGATTTGCCTGTACTCATAGAGGCTGTCCCATGTTTCCACGTTGTTCTCAAAGACGTCCTGGGCCAGGCGGTTCCTGCTTCTCGGATGCTCAGGGCTGCAGAGGGGTAGCTGGAGGCAGGACTGGGTCTGACCTGTTCCAAAAGCTTCGCTGCAGACTTCTCCAGTGTTTTTCTTGTTGTTGTTTGTAACTGGAATACTCATTTGCCGTGATCGTTCTTGGCCCGACTTCTGTAGCCTCATGGTTTCCATATGTGAGATAGTTAACGCTGGGGTTATGTATAAGGGTGTTTTATCGCACCACAGCGATCACGTTTTGGGCCGCTTTTCTGGGCAGCTGTAAAGCAGACAGAGTTTTCTGATGGGCTGGTAATAATTTCCTTGATACCATTCTGTGCCTAATTATACCTCCAGAAATTCCATTTTCTGATTTAGGGTACTGGGTCTGTATTTTCATCTGAATAAAGATTAATTTGGGTGTGGTCAGGGTTTAACTGTGCCTGAAGCTGGGGCGAGGTGGGGAGAGTCAGACCCCGACGTCTGCGCGTGCTGCCTGCCTGCTGCCTTCGAGCTGGTGGCAGCTCCATCGCTGAGAGACATCAGGTCCATCACAGGACCAAGGTGGTCCTGGGGTGACCTCGGTGAGGTGAAGGGGCTCCGGTGCTCGCGGCTGTGTCCTGGTAGCTGTCACCCTCGCTGTCACACCCCCCTGTGGGGAACCAGGGTGGCTCTGACCTTCCCATGTTCCTAAACTGTCGGAGGATAAACATCTGACTCCAGAGGAATCGGTGCGGAGGTCTGTTGTAGCCCATGCTTCATCATGAAGTAGGAGCAGTGGAAGACAATGCAACCGGGCAGAAAGGTTTAGTGAAATGTCCCTGGTTGATCATTACGTTAGCAGGGACCTGAGGGGGACCGGCTGCCGAGGATGCTCTGCGGAGGGAATGGGGCTTTTTCTTTCATTAGTCGTGTACCGCATGTGCAAAGATCTGTGTCTCGTTGGTGTCAGCAAAACCCGACATGGGGGAGGGTTTGTCATCATCTAAATGTTCTTCTGAGGCTGTGACAGTGACCATAAACACCCACCTCCACTTCTGCTCCCCTTCTGCAAGGCCTGATCTCTCTTGGCTCGGCCTAGGGATTTCATGTAGGCCACCTCATTATCCCAGATACCCTGTTTATTTCCTTCTGGGATTTAGGCGTTATTCTATTCATATCTAAACCCCTGCTACCCTGGTGAAGACGGATACCCAAATCTCCAGAGAAAGACTAAAATGGAAAAGTAATAGGGAGGAAGAAAAGAGGGAGCGGCGGCAAGGGAGACTAGCAAACAAAATGTTGGCGTAGAAGAGCTGACATATGAAGATGATAAAAGATGAGAATTTGAAGAAGTGATGTCTTGTTATGGAGGATGGGGCTGAAATCTGAACGCAGCACCGTGGTGGTCCCCGTGGTGTGGTCAAGAAAATAGCAGGGAGAAAGGTAGAAAACCCTGCATGTGAACTCCAGGGCATACATCAGCATGGGTGGAAGTGAAAGTAACTCACAGCAGGGGTGTGTGTAAAATGCTTTAAAACATAGATGTCAGAGAGGATTGGAAATGGTCAGGGTGCTGGCCGGGGTGATCTGCCAGCACAGCCTGGAAGGTGTAAGGTGTCAGCTACAGCCCCAGCTCTCGCAAGGCAATCACTTGCCCAAGTATTACTAGAGGAGCCTGACAGACAACTGGGAATAACATGGTGAGGGGGGAAAAAATGTTGCTTAGACTGATTTTTAGGAAAGTTTTGCTGAAAGGCCTCTTGCTCAGGCTGTTGGGAAGCAGAGCAGAGGCCCCGAATGGTTCGGGGATAGCCTGTCAGTAACTGCGGCGTGGGAGCTGAGCCCTGCCCCAACCTCCTGTGCTCCGGGGTGCTGCAGCCTCGGTTAAAAAAATCGATGAGTCCACGCTTTGTGTGGGGATCATGATTAGCATAAGTAGAGTTTAACTGGTGAATAATCTTCGTGCACAGGGGTGATTTATCAGGCATAATGACTCTGTATCTTCTTTCCCTCCCTGGAGAATTGTGTCTGCTTTTCTCACGGTGGGAAGGAGTCATCCTGAAAATGCTTTGAAAAGATAGAGGGTGTGCACGGGGTGTGTGCCCTTGTGTGCGCACAGGTCTGTGCGAGTGCTGTCTGCTGCACACGCTCTTGCTGGGTGTTGCAGAGAAGGCTGGGGGAGCTGATAGCTGGGGCACGGTTACATGGTGTTGGTAGTGATGCAGGGTGCCTGAGGCTTTGGGTTGGTGCCGCTCCGTTTTTAGGAGTGGCTAATCATTGCTGTCTGCGGCTGCTGCAGGCTGGCTGTCCTTGCAGCTCTCCGCAGTGTTTGCCATCTGCCCGTGCATGGGGACCTTTCTCTTTTACCTTTCCCGAACACAGGCACCGCTGACAGGCACCTTCCCATGGTGTGGTCTCTCCTGTCAGTTACCGTGCCATGGGTCCGTCCTTTCCTTCTGCTGCTGATCTGCATCCTTCTTCAGCTGTCAGGAGAGGAGAGAGCTGGCCCCAGGATTGGCAGCAGATGCTCGCTTGATGGTACCAGAAAGAAAATATATTAAGGATACTTTTTAGGAGGCAGGTTCTCATATTTGTCTTTCTTAGATTTGCAGACAGGAATGCTTGCATTAAAAATAAATGCCAATCAGCTGCATGTTTACAACTGCCACATTAAAGCTGCTTGCAGAATACAGTAGATCCTTAGATGAACAATTTGAAGTGAGTGTTTTCAGATGTACAATTTTAATTGGTCTATCTGGCCAGAAAGATAAATAAATGTCTTTTCCTCATTACTGCCAAATGCATGATTTGTTGCTTTAATGCAGCAAAACTAACCAGTTTTAATTATGTAGATGCAACTGTCTATGGTACAGCATTGTAAATCTTGCAGAAAATTGGCCATCATGTTGATTGGCTGTTTAATTTCCTATTGCTTCCTGAAGCTTTTCTTTAACCCCAGCAAAATTCAGGTCATTGCATGATCTATTTGGTTATTGTTGGCAGGAAGACTGCTGTGAATCAATAGCATCTTCTTCTGTCATATGGTTGGCAGGTGAAAAAATCCCTGGTGATCCTAAAGACGGTAGTCTTTAAATGGTGCATCTGGCTGCATAGTGGTAAAGGGATGATTTCTTGCACTTCTAGGACTCTTAGCTGCTGTGTAAATTGATCATAGAACTAGAGTTTTGATGGATTTGGGATATAAAAACATTTAAAAGACTTGCAAACCTGAGGCCAAAGAAAACCAATGTGTGTTTTCCCATTTACATGGGAGAACTGCAGCTTGGCTTAATTTATCATTGCTTGTTAGCTTCATTTTACTTCTCCTATTGCGGTAGCTGCATCCCTTCTTTTATGTCTATTCTCATTTCCTACCTATTGCTCTCTTTCCACTTAGCGCAGACAATTTTGGGAAAATTCCCGTACCAAATTATTTTCTGGAATTATGGCTTACCCAGGAGGGAAGCTTGGTTTGCAGTTGGAGGAGGCATTGAGGCTTGAAGCTTGACAGCCCATTTAATAAAAGAGTTCTGTGCAAAAGAGAAGGAAGTTCCATTCCTTTGCGTGGGCTGGTAGGAAACTGCTAAATATTAATCACAGAAACAGATACAAAATTTCCGTTGGCTTAATTGTCTTGCTTAACAAAATGTGAGACCCGAGGGCCAGCTGGCATGCCTTGGCGTAACTCCGTCTGCTTTGGTGGAGTTGTCTGCAGCAGATAGCAGATCCTGATGAATCTGATCTAGTTTCTACTGTGAGACTTCAGAATAACCGCTCAGCATTGCCCCTTACGCGGTTGATTCCCACTTAGATTTCTTTATTGCTATCTTCCACGTACCCTCTGTGTTTCCTTAGTGGGGTCTGGTAGCATGGTCCTGGCAGATGGGTTTTACGTGAGACCTCCTTCTGTGGGGACTGGGAGGGCCATGTGCAGCGAAGAGCAGAGAAGTATGTATGGGATTAATAATAAAGATTAATTGGCAGTCTCTAATGGAAACAAATTGAATCTATCAGAGATGTTCCCTGCAAAGCTAAAGTCCTGAGCACTTTGGCAGAAGCTGGAATGGTTCAACTGAGTCAGCAGGCTCCTGCACGCAGCCGACCATCAGGGGCTCCGTATAGTTGCTGGTAGGATGGACCTTCCTCAAATGGCGTGGATTTAGGTCTCATCTGTGGTCAGAAGGGAGAAGGAGCCACCAGCTCGTGGTAACTGGTCAGACATGTGTGTACATGTGTGCTTGGGTGCCTTGCTCTGGGTCAGACGTAGCCGGTACGTGGTCCAACGCTCTCACCACTAGCTCGACGTGCCTGCTGGAGCAGGAGCATGGGTACGGCACTGGGTGCTGCCTTGCTGTGGCCAGACGGTTGGCCCCTTGGCGCTGGTGCAGACGGTAGAAGCGGAGTGTGCCAAAGCACTGTGGCTGCTATTTATTGTCAAGACGTTGCTAAACCCAAAGACTCTCTAGGTGCATGGCCCCATTTAGATGGAGAGCTGGATGGGGGTCTGAAAGTCTGTGTGCTGGCCTTCTAGCAGAATGTGGAGTGATATTTAAAAAATAAGACAGGTGACATCACTAAAGTGTTTTTTCCTCATGTGACACAGCTCTTTGGCCCCAGCTGAAGCTGTTTAAGCAAGCACAGCAGAGTGAAGGTGCCTCTGGCAGGATAAGCAGGAAAGCATAGCTTTCCTTCTAAAGATGGAGAAGCTGGCAAAGAGAGCGGCCAAGGGACAAGCCATGAACCTTTTGCAGGACTTGCTTGGCAGGATGAGTCATGATCCTTGGCTTCTGCTGCCAAGCTGGGCTTCGTCTCCCAACACCTTGTGGTGTATTCACATAACTAGATGGTGGGGGTGGGAGGCTGTGCTTCTCCTGCCGCGTGGTCAGGGAGGGGGAAGCTGAAGCTCTGGGTTAAAGCTCATTAGTGAGGCCTGACCCCCACAACGGGGCAGAAGTCACATTTAGCAGCCATGCTTCTTAAACCCTCATGTTCACATGGGACCATCTGTCTAAAGTGGAAACCAATGGCTGTTCCTGCAGCCGATGTCCCGGGGCAGAGCCTGTGCTTCCCGTGGGCAGGCTGTGGGCCTGGTGGTCAGGCTTCAGATTTCTTTCATTAAGGTGACTTTCTTCTAATGCGTTAAGAAAATTAAGTCTAGCCGTGTTTGGAAGTGCAGGTGGTGAAGAGGCCTGCTTTGGGCTTCG